TTCGGTCAACCGGATTAGGGGCACGTCCGGTAGTGTTGACTCGGGTGGTGGAGACGGTGCGCGAAGAAAGTCGGTCACTCTACTCCGGCGGGGAACGGAGTATCTGTAGGTCGGTACGTAACCGAGGAGGTCTTGGCAGTCTCGGTTAGGGTATCGAAGCACGGTTCTGATGGCTGCTTCGTTGGGATAATGGTAGTTGGCTTACAAAACTTCGATTGTTGTAGAGAGGAGAAGAAAAAAAGATATTAAGTACAGAATATAGAAAGAAAGTAATTTGACCGAGCAGTTAGCATGGCTTACATGTTGAACCGAAGTTCTTGCGGATATACTAGCTTGGCACGTCGGCAGTTTCATAATTACCGGACACCCAGAAAAAGTCGTCGTCATGCATGTCTTTGTCCGGGGTGCCGGTCATTATCTTCTCCTTGCCCAATCTGATCTTTAAATAATAGGTAAGGCTATCGCCTGTATGCCCGAGGGTATACTGGCGAAGTATCTCGGCTAATCCTAGATTGGTTCCTAGCCGGTTGTTTAGCTCGGCAATTTTGTTTATTATGCAGTAAGTGTTGGTTGATACTTGAGTTGGTGCTAGCCTAGTGCGCCGCAAGAACTCGCACATTAGAGGGTTAACCGGAAAGCAGATGTCACCTTCTATAATGGAAAGCATGGTGAAGCAGCACTGGTTTAATTTGCCCCAAGGGGTCGTGTCCTCGGCACTAAGCTCTAGATAAACGTCGTCCGGGATACTGTATTCTTCCCGGAACGCAGTTAGAGCAACCGGCGTGTCGACCAGGAAGTGGTAGCGCCCCATGTGTACAGCCGGCTGGTTTTAGCACGGTTGTGTTGGTTTGGCACAAACTCTTGTTCGATGGCTGCTCGGTCTTTGAGTGCCTCAATGTTGGTGCGTGACCTTGGACTTTGCAGGAAAAGGAGGGTAAGTGTAAGTGGGAGCGCGGTCGCGCAAAACGAGCTTGACTTTAGCTCGGTCAGATGGAGTGCCAGACCACCTTGGTCACAAAGGTAAATCTAGAAGCTCGGCCGCTCAAAAGGACCAGATGTTAGCCCGGTCGAGCGGTAAAACCCTCTGCCTACCTCGGTTCCTACAGGAGTTTTTGCAAACTCGTAATTTGCTCGGTTTAGGTGTTTTGTGGGATCAAAAGAAAGCCCGGAGCTCGGTCCGCTCCAGTTCTTCGTGTGTTTATCACTGGAGTTGAAGAACAGCAAAGAGAACAGGGGCAGAAGTGGTTTTTGGGGGGTTAAATCCTAAAATCTATGGATTTCGTGCCCCAGAATGTGAAATACCAAATGAAAAGCAATGAGGAGTTTTGAAGAGCTTACCAGTATAGAGGCAAAAGCTGATTCTTCGAGCTTCAATTCAAGGCAAGAACAGTGTTTGAGTAGTGAGGTTGGCACAGCAGCTTTGGTTCGTCTAGAGCAGAGGTGAAACAGTAAGAAAGGAATGAAATGGAGATATGGCGTGTTTATAGGCGAAAAGAACCACCAAAATTTCAAATGTGAAGGGACATCTGGGTTGGCTACTCGAGGCCAATAAATGGACGACGCGTGTTTATATTGGCGGCGGCGTCAGTATTGAAGAGACAAGATGGCAAGTCGAGGCGTCAACCAAGTAAGCCAAGAAACCGAGCATGGGGATTAGTGCGGTTAATGTCTTGCGAACTAAAAACCGAGGGAGAATTTACCCCGGACGGATCATGTAATCCCAGTCACGCTTGCGCAGACAGAATTAAGGAGCAATTGAGAGGGAGATTTATAATCTGGCTTTGGCCGTGGAAGGAGCCGGACAGAAGATGGCCGAGCATGTTTAGGCCGAGCTAACTCGGGCCTGATCAGAGTGGGATTTGCTCGATCGAGGCTCGCCCTGTTTAGGCCGAGCTAACTGGGGCTTCCTTTGAGATGATCTTGCTCGGTCCAGGCCTAGGTCTGAGGTCCAATTCCCATGTTTGGACCGAGCTTCCCCGGATTTGGACTTGCTCGACCGAGGCTTATCCCCGAGGTCTACTTAGCCGAGATGAGCGTCTGCTACCGGGTTTTGTGGGAGCACGATTAGCTCGGTGGGAAAAGTCTTCTGAATGCCAGTGTAACCTATCTGGAACTCGGTCCTGCTAGAGTGCTACCAAGCTCGGCTGTTATGGAGCTCGGTGAGTGGAGCACTCGGGTACATTACGCAGCACGGTCGTGGAAGGCCGAGGTGATTCCGCCGGACTGCCAAGTTCCTGCTAATGTAGCCTGACGGTTAGGTTAGGTGGTGATTGCTGGATTTGTGTTGACAGATGGGAGAGCACCACCACGTGTCAAGAGACTAAAGGGTGCAGAGTTGAGCGCAGAAAGTATATAAGCGTGACTGCGCCCCCATGCTGGATATAGAACATCATTTATTGAGATAGACTTACATTCATTGAGTTTCTCTCTCTCTCTCTCTTTCTCTCTGAGTGTGTGCTAACTTGACCGTCGAAGGGGTTTTTGGCAACACACCGTCGGGTAGCTCACCGCCGTTGTACTTTCAGGTTGATCGGATAGACACGGAGCTTGGACGAAAGAAGTACGGACAGCAACGAATATTTGCTCCCCGTACAGGCACCTTTTGTGCATTGCCATGTTTTTGGCATTGCCGACATCTCCTTGCATAATTAATGCAATCGTTCCTTATAGATGGCCAAAATACCCATATCTCTTGATCAACCACCTCATCTTTTCACCAGCTTGGTAAGCACTACAGATGTCTTCATGTATCTCAGCCATGACCTGCATCTGTTGTAATTTCCCAATACACAGGAGAATTAAACCATCTTGGGTCCTCCTAAACAAATCATCTCCCAAAATGGCATAATTTATGGCTCAATATTTCATTTTCCTATCTACCTTCACTTCTGGATTGTTCAAGTACTTAATTAGAGATTATCTCCAATCATTCTCTAACACATCTAAAACCAAGATTGATAACCCTTGTCGCTGTCAACACTTAACACAATGCATTGCCCTTTTCCGAATTCTCACAATCCTCTCTTGAAAGTCATCTGGAATCCTTTAACTAGATGTTGCTTGGGCCATTTTATTGGCCGCTTTTGTTTTCAAGCCTAAACTAATTCAATACCCTTAACCAACTTTAGAACATGGTCTAAATATTCCCCAAGTATTGCACTATTGCACTTGTATTGGCCTGTAACTTGCCTTATCACTAATTATGAATCCCCAAACACGCTTAAGTATAGGATCCTAAGGTTTTTTTTTGCCAATTCTAAGCCAATAATCAAAGCTTCATACTCTACCTGATTATTTGATTGTACTTAGGACTCATCTAACAGATAAGAATATTGAAAAACCTGCCCTTGGGGTGACACCAACACAACCCTAGCACCAGCACCTTCTTCAGTCTTTGAGCCATCAAACATTAATTTCCATGGCTTCATCTCGACTGAAAATACCTCATTTAAATCTACCACGATAGGGTTACAAGGATGTTTAGCTAACAAGTCTGCCAATACTTGGCCCTTCGCAGCTTTCTGAGGAACATACTTAAGACAATATTCAATCAAAGCAAGCATCCATTTCCCTTGTCTTCCTCTTAACACTAGCCTTGATAACATATATTTCACCACATCTATTTGGGCAATCACATTAACTTCTGAAGGCAACATGTAATGCCTTAATTTGATTACTGCAAAATACAAAGCTAGACATAGCTTCTCAACAAGAACTATACCTAATTTTTACTTCGTTCAACTTTCTACTTGGTAATACACAACTTGCTCACATTTTTTTTTTCATTATCTTGTGCCACTAAATAACCAATTTATTGTTCTCTTGCTGAAATATATGGTTTCAAAGGTTTTTCTTTTACAAGTGGCATCAAAACTCGAGGTTTGGGCAAATAATCCTTTATTGAGTGAAATGCTCTTTGATGTTTATTCTTCCACTTAAACTCTTTATCAAATTTCAATTTTAATAAAGGAGCAAACACCAAAGTTTTTCCTGCTAAGTTGGCAATGAATCTTCTCAAAAAATTTATTTGTCCAAGAAAACTCAGCAATTCTTTTTTGTTAGATGGGGGTTGTGCTACCTTAATGGCTTTGGTTTTGTTTAAATCCATATCTATACCCTTCTGGTGAACCAAAAAGCCTAAAAAATTACCAGCAAAAACTCGAAAAACACACTTCAAGGGATTCATCTTTAACTGATAGGTCCTCATCCTTTGGAAAACCAGTCAAAGATGATCCAAATGTTCATCAAACTCATCTAACTTTACAGCCACATCATCAGTATAAACTTCCAAAAACTTTCCAATCAAATCATAAAAAATGAAATTCATGGCCCTTTAATAAGTAGCTCCTGCAGTTTTAAGCCCAAAAGGCATTACTACCCATTCAAAAGCTCCCAAGGCCCCTGGGCATCTAAATGCAATCTTATGAGTATCATTTGGGTTAAGAAAGATTTGATTGTAGCCAGCATGCCCCATCCATAAATGACAAAATTTTATGCCTTGCAGCTGAATCAATTAGCAAGTCTACAACTGGCATAGGATATTTATCCTTAGGTGTGGTCATATTTAAATTTCTAAAATTAATACACACCCTTATCTTGTTATTCTTTTTAAGGATTGGAACTATATTAGACAACCACTCTACATATCTAGCTATTCTAATAAAATTAAATTTTAAAAACCTTTCAATTTCATCGTTTAGCATAAGAGTGATTTCATTTATCATTCTTCTAGGAGGCAACTTATGTGGCATATTAGAGCCGTTTGGTGTAGCTGTTAAAACAGATTATAGATTATAGCTTATGACTTTAATCAGAAGTTGTTAATCTGTTTGGTGTAGCTGTTGGATTATAGATTTAAGTTGCTGAGTAGTGTTTGTTAAATAAGCTGTGAAGTAGCTTTTTGCTGTGTAAATGCCTTTTTTTCCCTTGTTAGTTGTAAATTGAATTTTTCTAGACTTTTTGCTATTAATTACATATTAAGAGATCATTCCAACACCAAATTAACATAACCCTATCATTTTTAAATAATAATACAATGAAATAAATATTACACAAAAATAAATTTATTATATTTTAATAATTATTTCCTTGAGAAATTGACATTAAAATCTCATATCTTCTTGAATCCATCTCATAATCATCATTACGAACCGGATGCCCATGTCGGTCTTCCCCTACCACTGCTTCCTCGTCAACAGGGACATACTCAATATGTTTTTCATAAGAGTCAAATGGAATATCCCTTAACTTAGTTCGTCTAATGAAGTTGTGGATCACCATAGTAGTACAAACAAGTTGTCATTGACAAACAAAATTATAATTGCATGGAATATCTTTCATAAAAGGCCATCTTGCTTTCCAAACACCAAATGATCTTTCTATTACTCTCCTGGGTGATGAATGTGTTTTGTTGAATTTTTCATGTGCAGTTTGAGGAGGCCGGTGGTCAAATTGAGCTAAATGATATCTCTTCCCTTTGTATGGCGCAAGATAACCCTTTGTGTTTGGATAGCCAGAATCAACCAAATAATACTCATCTACAAAGTAAAATATGAACTCATTACAAATATAACTAATATAGAATAAATGAATAAATCTTAATTTTTGTTACATACATACCTCCTTCTGGATATGGAAAATTATTGTTTGGATTCCTAATTGTATCCCAAAAAATTCGCGTGTCATGTGCACTTCCCTCCCAACCAGGTAAGCAAAATGTGAAACACATGTCAAAGTCACACACTGCCAATATGTTTTGTGTAGCATATCCCTTCCTACCTATGAAACGGGATAAGTATTCTGCTTCCACATGAGCTTTGATATGTGTTCCATCAATTGCCCCAATGCAATTCTACATACAAAAAATATCAGAAAATATTTTTTTTAAGAGAGAGAGAGACAGACATAGAGAGACAGAGAGAGAGTATTTGTAGTTACCTTAAATGAGGGTAATATTTTCGGCTATTCTTTATGTACGGATGAACCCCATTTCTCTGCCAAGGCTTCACCCAATCCACGGACATTTTCACACACGCTTTTAAAACAGAGTGGAAGTATTTTGAAATAGTTTCACCCGATAATTGAAATCTTTCTTGAGCATTTCTATTGTTTGCATGTTGACCAACAATAAATACAAAAATAGCAACTTGTTGTTGAACCCCAACTTTTTTCCCACTTTGTAGTTCATAGTTAGTCTCTAATAAATTGCACAATTGATAAAAAACATCCCTGTCCATTCTAAAATTTTCATATATTCTTGTAGCATTACCATGTTGCAATTCTAACATCCATTGATGTCCTGTGAGAGCAGATGTCCTACATGGTTGTTTATTTAGGTAATTTTCTGCATAAATTGCTCCTGCCACTGCTGCTGCCATTAAGTCATCATTATCATAATTACCATCATTATCATAATCACCATCATCATTGAAATTGTCCATCTTTATACTATATAGAAATTAGGGTAAAAAATCAACACCTATTCCTATTGTATGAGGGTAAATGTTGTGAATACAATATAAAAGTAGGAGTTTCTACCAAACCTAAGTAGTTTCAAAACTTATTTATCGTGCAAGTTGTTATGATTTATTTTTAAAAAATGACTTTAGGTAAGAAAACTCCTAAAATATGCTATATATTTAGTATACGTTTTTTTTTTTAATCTAAGAAAACTCCTAAAAGTTGGGATGTAACCCATTAATGAGTTTAATTTTATTTCATTTTTTAATTTTATTTTTGTTTCATTGTAAATAACAATAACATGGTTTATTTTTATTGAATCCCAAGTGAATGATCATATGCTTGCAATTAAAATTAAATAACTTGGGATGCTAATTATAATAATTAGAATAATATAATATGAACTCTTCCATGATTACATGAACTCTTCCAGAATAATTTTATGCATAATATAATATGAATAATTTTATGCATAATATAATATGATAAATAATTTTATGCATAATATAATATGCTAATTATAAATAACTTAGGATGCTATTTATGCATAATATAATATGAACTCTTCCATGCATAAATATAGCCTATCTAGATCATAATAATCATATGCATAAATTAATTTAACACACAAAATAATAGAATATAGACACAAAATAAAATTAAACAAACATCAGCTGAATACCTGCAAAGATTGGAATGCCTCTTGGTTGTTTAACAATTCGGAATGGCAAACAAGTTCACCATCACACTATATATAGACAGTGTCATTGCAATATTCATCATTTAAATAATATCTTTTTAAAATTGCTTTTCAACTTGCAGGCAAATGGACAAAATACAACTTCCAGGCAAATGGACAAAATCACAACTTGCAAAATCACATGACACACAAGTGGCCAAATACAACTTGCAATAATACTTCCTATTCCATCCATAAAGGCACAACTTGCAATAATACTTCCTATTCCATCCGTGATAGCACAAATTAAACATAATTCACTGAGGCAAACATAAATATAACATCAAGCCAAATTAATTAAAGATAGTCCTAATAATGTTTTTTAAAATAATAAAAAAAAAAACATACACACATTCGCACAATGAACTAATCACGAAAACCAGGAATGCGAGTCTTTTCCAAAGCAATTTCGAGATTAATAAACTTCAAACGCAACACATCATTAGGCAAAGCCATGAAAGACTCACGAAGTGAGGGTTTCATGAACAACCTTGCAGCCTAAATTAAAAGGTCATCGTCTTCACTAACGCCAGAGATTGTGCTAATCTTAGCCAAACACTCAGTTATTGTGTGCGGATTTTGCATAGAAGCATTCTGTGTACCAGTTGAAGATGATGCCTCCACAGCATCGACAATGCGGTTAAGTGTCTTACTCAACTCACCGGCAACCGATTGTTTTTTGTTCCCCTTTTGTTTCTTTGATGGACCCTTTTTTTAGCGACGACATTGGTTGCTCAATTCATATGGATGAATTTCCGTATCAGTATCATCACCAAGTGGGGTGTGAGATCCTTCAGTGTCAAGAAACACTCCAGAGCTTGGAGTGTATGCCCACTCACCAATTGCAGAAACATCAGAGAATAGTATGTCCATGTCATCGGCTAATGTCAATGGCTTCTCACGAAATTTGGCCGCATCAGGATACCTCTATAACAAAATATGGACAAATATTACAAATATATAAATTATAAAGCTCAAGTACAAGTGACCAAGAAAAAAAAAATTAACATAATTCACTGACCTGTAGCTTCAAATTCCACCAATCATCAGATGCCATGATAGCTCCAGTCAAGGGATCTAACCCCAGCCCTGTCTCACCTCTCAATAGATTTTTCCAAAGACCCCACTCCTTTTTTAAGGTATCCCAACGATTTTTAAGTTGAATGCGAACATATGACTTTCCAGTTGCAATTTTGAACTTGTTAATAACTGCTTCCCAACCAACCCTATCTAAGTGCGTACCAGGTCTGTGACCCGCTTTCACTTGCTCCACACAAAGTTTGACAAAATTTTCAGTAGATTTTGTGTCCCAATGTGCCTTTAAACCTTGTGAGGGTTGGGAGTTTTGGGAAGCTTTTCCTTTGCTCTTTGTAGTTGTTGGAGATTGTGATGGTGGTTGGGAACTCATTTTCTATTAAAATCATGATTCACCAAAGACAACTCTTTCAGACATTTCATTTACATTAAAGGGCCAGTTGAAATAGTCAAAATTAGTCCTTATGTAAAATCAGGGTGATATTACCTATTCTATATATTTAATATGCTATATAAAATCAAAATTAGTTCTCTAGTTCATAATTTAATATGCTATACATTTAGTATTTCTTTTCTGTTAGTAATTTTTTATATCTAAGATATGAGAAAAGAATATAGTTCGATCTACCTTCTCTACTCATGATCATCATTTATTTTTCAATGATTATATTGCTGTTGCATGTCACATGTAGTATTGAGTGCTCATATCTAATTCATGATGCTCTAGTAAATCTAACATTAGACACAAAACCCAATTTGACATTCTTATTAAAAGAACCAATGCATGTTTGACACACATGATTATTATTCATATTTATGATATGTGTTGTATTAAACATGAGAGATGTTGTAGTTAGGCATTAAATTCTGAATTTTTAAAAATTATGTTTCGTGTGAATATGGAAGTTTACGGTCTTCTAACCGTCTAAAAAATAGAAATGTTTCTTTGATTTTTTATATAGTAATAGACTAATAGATATCTCACAATTTATAAATATCATGCAGTATATTGAGTTAGGCATTAAATTCTGATTTTTGAAGAATCATTGCTATATTATAAGGGATTTAATAGGGATGCTCTTACAACCACCGCATGCAGTATATTGAGTATGAAACAGCTCTCAGAAATTTAAAACAAACAGACAAATCTAAGACAAGGACAATTAAACAAATAGCCCCAAAAAATTGATGAATTAGCCACAAAATAAATGATCTTCACCAAAACACGTCTACTCAAGTCACACGAACATACAGATTAAGTTTAGAACAAAAGCTCCAAGTATATATGAACGTTCAAAAGACATGCCTACTGTCAGTCATAGATAACTTTGTGCTCTTATTCACAAGAGCTCACTCATATGACAATCTTCTCTTAGTAATTTGTTTGTTATATATCAATAATTCTGTGATTAGTTTAGAGCTCACTTTTCATATTTGGATTAATTTGATTTGCTTTGCGTGGCTTCTATCTATATGTTTTGTACTCTGTGATTTTTAATCTTGTATGCATAAGTGAGTGAAATAAATCCTTCTTTTTTAAAAAAAAAAAATTCTTTTTTCTATTCCATTTAGAAATCCCTAAATCCTTAGATTGAAGCACAGTTACAGATCCCATTCTGAAAAAAATTATGCCATACTAATTTGTCCAAATATAAGCTAAAATTTTCTCCATTTCCCTTAAGCACAGATTTTTTCCTGCATCACTAGTAGGAAAAAAAATAAATAAATAACTTGAACAAACTTTTAACATCAAAGAATGAATAAATTTCCCCAAATTTTTATTATTATGATTTTTTTAATAGAAATATTACAGTAAAATTTTTAACTCCTACACAAACAAAGCATTTTTTTTTTTTTTGATTCATACAAATAGAGCATTAATAAACCAACTCCTACACAAATTTTTAACATCAAAATAAATTTCCCCAAAATTTTCCTAAGCCCTAACTATTCTTATTTTCCCCAATTTGAACAAATTTGAAATACATATATATATTTGAAATACATGCTGAACAAATTTAAAATCAAACATAACCAAAACAATACACACACACACACACACACACATATATATATATATAAACATGCATGCCGAGCAAGAAAAAGAAAAATCAAAGATGAAGGAAACGAACCAGAGTCGGAAACGAATCAGAGCCACACGTCGCCGGAAGCAAACCAACGCCGGAAGCAAACCAGAGCTTCACGTCTTCGGAACTAAACCAGATCGCAACTTGCTGCTGCGTTGCTGTGTTGCTGCTGATCTCTTGCCAAAGACAAGATTAGGGCAAAAAAAAGAGCATATATAGGTGGTATAAGGGTAAATCTTTCAAAACACATAGGACATTTAAGTCAAATTGCCCTCCGTGATTTACCAGCGAGAATCTGAAGCTGGTTCAACCAGCTTTTGAATTTCAGCTTTTTTCTCCTTGCCGATAATATGTAGAAGTTGAAGCTGAAGCAGATACCAGGCAACCAAACAGCTTAAATTAGCTTTTTTTAAGCTAAAAGCCAAAAGTTGGGCAAAAAAAGCATCACCAAACACCACCATTATTTGGTTTAATTGGGAGTTTGTGTTCAACCAAAGGCCTGTCTAAACTAGACATCTCATCATAACTCTAAGCAAACACAATAAGAATATTATGAAATCAAGCTAACTAACTTGATTTTACATTCATTAGATAAAGTGGCATTTACATAAATATGCCTCTTACCAGCCTCATTTCCTAAATTAAACTCCTCTAAAGGATCGTGCACATCAGTCTTGAGGTCATCAAGCTTTGCAGGAGCTATTTTCAAATTCTCATACTACACCTCTTTATAATCTAAAGGGTTATCATCTACTACACACTTTACCTAAAAACACTAGGACAACATACCACCTAACCTTCTTTCTAAAAAGAAATAAAAAAAGCCTAATAAAAGTAATTCTAATTACAGTTGAATCAAACTCACTTTCACTCTTTTTCATCTTCATTGGTAATGTCTTTAATCAACACTATCTATAGGCTTGGTCTTCAAGACACTTGGCTTGGCCATTTCCTAGCCCATCTGTCGAAACCCCTTTCTCAATGAACTTCTGGAATTGGTCATAAGTCAGACCAATCCCTTTTGATTTCAATTCTTCATTTTTCAACACCACAGGACTAAATTCTTCAACATACAACATTGTCTCCACATTATGGATATCAGCTTTGAAAAGGTTTGCCTTTCCCTTCCTGGCCTTCTACTGTTAAGAAAATTAGAGCTTGATGAAGAGATAAAGGCACACAACCATTAGAATGAATCCAATCCCTTCCAAGCAACAAGTTGTAGTTTGAAGTGGAGTCTATCACAAAGAATGTTGCTCCCATCACTCTGCCTCCTACTTGAAGTTGCAAAGCAATTACTCTACTTGTATCAGAAGACTCTCCTGAAAAATCACTCATAGACACATCAGTAGGAATTAAATCATCTACTGACTTACCAATGACATTTAGAAT